ATATTCTTTGGCTTTTGAAGACTGCATCTCGGACGCAGAGTTATAACTCAAAGATTATTTCAGCACACAAGGGATTCTACAACCAATGAAACTGCAGCCGGAGGTGTTTTTCTGTGTGCTAAACACTACTTCACATTTTTTCCAGGGAGTTGATAAATCAATTAATAATTTGTCTGACGTTGGCATTTTTATTGCATTCGGTATAGCTGTTTGTAACCAGAACCTTCTAAATGCGTGACATACCGAAACACATTTGCTTTCTAAGGGAAGAGTTAATGAAAAAAAATAAAACCCTGAATCAGCCAATTTTAGTGCAAACTAAATGATGAGAAAAACGGCTTGACAATGCCTATACACACCTGACTTTAAAAGCCTATTGTCACATGTGGCGTAAAAATTATGATAAACACATGGCCTGAGCCGGCTATAAACATGACCCAAAATAATATATAATATGCATGACTTTAAAAAAGGCTTATTAAAAGTAATTATATATACTTTTGAAGCCAAAGGATCTTAAAACCCTAAATTTCAACTATATATGTATCAAGGTGTGCTTTGAAATTGTCATTTCAATATATTTGTACATCTTAACTTTTTACTTAATTCATCTTTATAAACACGTTATTTAAATGGAGTTATGGAGTTAGTCAGCAGAGTTGTCCGCGACATTATTTTGGCGGACTGATAGGTTGGCATAAATTAGATTTCTTGTGACGTCGATCATAACAAAAAACTTTACACTCTCTTAAAAACTTAAAAAATGAACCAGTGTCGAGAAGTAGAAACGGCCGCTCTAAACGTTGACCGCTCTTTGTGCTACGCCCAGCAGAGATGCCACGTCGCACGACGTCATGATTGACAGTGAAGGGGAGCGGACAAATGGTAGTCCCGACGCTTACGTTTAACGCTGCCTTGAACAGTATTCCATTTATATCAAGTCATGCCAGCTTGATGTAGGAGGAAAGCCAGAAGTGATGCGGGTCTTAGAAGTTTTCCAATTTTCTAACAAACCTAGAAACATAATTAGGGCGAACCGGTATTCGAACCAACGATCAGGCGTTTCTGCCACCCCTGAGCTGTAACTCTGCACAGCGGTGTCTTGGACGACTTGACCACCAATGTCCCTGGGACCATATAGAGTAGAGAAGGAAAATTGCATGACGTCGTATCAGTAATTATGAAGGTATTCGCTGCGGTCAAATAGAATAGACCTGCAGAATAAGTCATCTTTAACAACGGCAATGTACAAATACGGTAAATATTTAAATCTAAGTCACAATGTCAATTTCAAAAAGAATTCCATTTTGTTCAGAGACGATAGATAACCACATTGACACCATGGCATCTCTCCCGTTATACTGCTTGTTGGAGGGATGTTTGAGTGTCCTTAATTCTCTTTACCAGTTGTACCGCCCTTGCAAAAATAATTGTACTGAGGCTGTGCCCCTGTCTCGTTATTAGGGCTTAATGGGAAATAGAAGAGCCTTTCTTAATTTCCTGTTTCACTTCCAGTAAATCTACCACCTTGTGATTAAAACACAAACCAGACTACAAATAACAAATCTTTAGCTTTGAAAATTCATTGAAGATTCCGGTGGGACAAACTGTGAACAAACTAAATTCACGCATCACTGCCTCCCGGTACTTAATCCAATATCGACATCGTGAGAAGAAGGAGCCACGCTTTCATTTTGCCACATTTCATTTTGCTTTGGTTGATCTATTCTTTAATAAACTTATACGGCACGCTTTGTTGCTTTTCAATTCGAAACAAAATATCAAAATGGCAAAGAAAGTTGAAAACTCCACCGGATTCACGCTCTTCCATGAAATAGGCAGATGTGGAAAAAAAGGGATTTGCCAATATCCCTGATTGTAACTGAACCTAATCCGGCGACCACTGAATCTACCATAGACGATATTGGGATGATGGATCCTGGAATGCTGACTTCCTGCTTGCTAGTTGACGATTCATTCAGTTGCACGGACACATACTACAGACCTTAAGAAGAGGGATATTTTTGAAAGCAATTCAGGCGGACACCTAAGCTCCCTCCAGGAGTATAATGCTCTTACGGCAAGCCTCCTTCAACCCTTACCCTAGCTACTTCAATCAATCATGGCGCGTACTTCAAAAGTCGCCTCAAGTTGCTAGCTACCTGGATGGTTTGGCCATCCACCATCCCCATGATAACAAACCTCTTTGATGGGATAATTTTACTGACTTATGATTCAAAACTAGAGAGAACTTTCGATTTAGGCAGTGATGAGGGGAATTTTGGATGGTGGGCGATGTTTATATCGATCACGTGATCCGGAACGTGATAATGCGAGATATCGCCATCTTAAACCCAATCACACTACTTGAAGTCTGATCCGTGAGAAAACGGCTTCTTACTTGCGTATTTTTTATTCTGTGTCTGTCATTTTGACACTGTATAGATGAAGTGATGCGTTTGGCCATCATAGCAGCAGCATCATAGTTAGTGTCGCCATTTATTTACCCTATGTTACATTTTCGCATCGGAATGAAACATGATGTCATACCAACATATCTGCCTCTAATGTTTTACACGCATCCTATCAAAAGTGCCCTTAAATGTCAAAATATTTTACAACTTGATCCAACCCACGGGCACGAGTATGGTGCTCACAAACATAGAAACATGATCAGGCCGAACCGGGATTCAAACAAACGATCACAGATTTCTTGCACGACTAAGGGATGCAACTCTGCACAGCGATTTGTGGCGCCTTAGACAACTGGACCACTCAATGTACCCCAAATGGAATTTTGAAAAAAATTGACATAACCCGTCTTGAAATAAAAAGCAAAGAGAATATACCTGCACCTGTAAAAATACAACAACTCAAGCACGGTAGATACAGTGAACTACGGTTATAACGAACTCAAAGGGACCACTTATTTTAGTTCGTTATAACCGTAGTTCGTAAAAAGCATATATACAGCATATATACAACAAATGGCCGGGACTAAAAAATAAGTTCGTTATATCGGTCAGTTCGTTATAAGCGTGTTCGTTATAACCGTAGTTTACTGTAGTTCAACACGGATCACAACAACAATCGTACGGTACATTAAAATGAGGAAGATAATCAGGCGAACCAAGTAGTAGTAGTAGTAGTAGTAGTAGTAGTAGTAACGGTGATCTTGGAGGTCGTAGTGTATTTGAACTTTTGAAAGATATTGACGTTGTCTGATGAAGACAGTATAAGCAGTAGCAGCACAATGCCAATATACGAACGGAAGCAGTCATAATAGTGGAAGCATCATTAATATCAACATGACCAGAACATCAATATTAGTAGACACTGTTGATCTGAAGTAATACCAGTCGTTCTATAACATCACGGCAATGGTGGTTATAGTACACGAAATGTAATCATCAGTGAAGTGTCTGCGTTATTTGAAAATAGTTTGTGGTTGAACATGAAACGCTGCCTTGCAGTATTACATGTACGTTATTTGATTTCGTCATTCCTTTCACGACATAGATATCGACATTACAGAGACCACCTGGATGTTCGGATGACGTTATTGAATGATGAAGCTGGTAATGAATCATCGTACCATAGGAGCTATACCTGACACAACAGTTAAAAAACGCTAATAAAATAATCATTTGTTTTTATTCACAATTTGACATCAACATTGATTATCCAATAACATGTTTTAACTTTTCCATCGTATTAATTATTTGAGTACTCTTTCCACTGCTTCATTTGCCTCTTTGCATCATATATGAAGCAGTACCTATGTCCATCTAGAGAAAAAATATTCTTTGTTCTTTGATCACCAGGTGTCAATGAGGTGAATGTCTGTGTACGTTTTCAAAACTTACATGTTAATTTAGAAACAAAAGCTTTCCTTTTTTTGCCAAGTGTACATATACCATGTGCTAGTATGTTGACACAAGCCTCACACAATACTGCAATAGGGCTCAGTGAAATTGGCATTGAACAAAACACAAAGATGTGGCTACTAGAGTAGAAGGAACTCAATCCACACAGTGTAAGCATACGCTGTAGTCAGTATCGACTAATACCATAAAAACACGTTAAATCTGTCTGTACAAAGATGCACACTATCTGGTACGGTACATTTACAGTAAGTGGTATTTTGATCAGTTGATCATTAAAAATTGCCATCCCAACGTATAATCTCTTGGCTCTGTGTGATAGCAGCACCTATGAAATGCACCCCTTATTTGTCTGGTATATCCGATAATCGCTTTCGTTTAACCACTCTAAAACTAGCAGATGAAAGGAAAGGACAATGTATGGAAAGTTCAGTTCTCCATATTCTCGTAATGTCACTTCCATATATGCATTCTGAATTATAGAAATTTGACACTTTTTCCATCAAAATGCATTTTGATTTATTTTTTGTTAATATCAATACTTACTTTGAGGATGGCCTTCAACTATCACTACATGAATTGAGAGATAACACGACACGTCACGCTTCGAAATGTCTCAAATGTGAAGAGCAAAGAGAACGAGCGGTTATTCGCTCATCATAACCCATTCAATAATGACGGCTTAGGACTCGGAGCGGTAAACGGGACTTAATTCATCTTTACTCGAATCACAAATCCTGAAACATTAAACTCAAAGGCTATTTAATGCCTGCTCGTTTTCCTGACAAGAGCGAGATATTTCCCGGGATTATTGGCCTCGGACAGTTCGACATTCTCGCGTCGCGTAATTCTTTAAGCGCACACTGAGTGGCGATAATTGGGTCCAAGAGTATTTATATCCAAACATCTTCACTGTAACGAGTCTGCGTTCAAAATTATCATTTTATTAAAATAGTTTAATATCAAATGTAATACACGTAAATATATATATATTTCTGATATTACATACCTCGTGTCTGTCTAGCGTACAAACTAAAACACATTTGGTCATTCTAACTTTTGTTACATAAAGACATGTTTAATTAAAACACCATTAATACAATAAATATCACTCACCTGACGAGGTAAACCAAATAAGAAAGAGCGCAAGGGCAAGACATTCCAAATCCATCCTGCATGGGTTAGTCATTATGTACAGATTATCCCTAATCAGGTTAATCAACACTAATCCTACGATGAGTTATGTGAACAGCGTCTCTCAGTCAGAGCCGCGTCAGTGACTACTACACTTGACCCGCCTCCTGAGTAGAATAGACATCACCGCAAAACACACAGGCACACTGAGGTGTCTTTCGCCGTACCCTCCCCGTTTCTATATACATGAGTTGTACTTTCTCGGTCTGTGGCGGTAGAATAACCCTTGTCAGCTTCCGTTGAGAAACCGCGTGTCCTGGAAGCGAGTCGATGCAGTGTCCAGGGAGGGTATATTTCTCTTTGCGTGTCCAGTACCGGAAATAAACACCCAATGAGCGCATGTCAATTTCACAGCTACTTTCAATTTGCTTATTGGCTCTGCTGAGAGTGAGAGAAGAGTTGCACCGCAAAGCTACACAGTCAGGTGCGGAGAGGAACGGAAAGAAGTCTACTGCTACCACATCCTCACACAGACAAATCAACATCGCCCGACTCCCTAGTAATTTTGTGTCGATAGAGATTCCAGCGGCCAATTAAGCTTATCGCAATGGTGTTTCCATTGTCGAATGGTTCTTTTAAGACCGCTTGACAATGTCTTAGCTCCATAAATCTTTCTTCTGTTACAACAAAAATTGATTTTTGTGGTTTAGATGTGGTATTACACTGACGGATGCGTTTAAACAAGGATTACCATTTGCCAACCATTAATGTGAAGGAAAGATGCCTCTCTTGTTTCAGTCCAAAATTTCACCTCGTGTGTAAGTGTTTCTTATTTCAAGAGCATATTACATTAACACAGCTATTTCATCATCAATTGGACACATTTTCATAGTTGTCTACAAACACCATTGTTCTATACCTAACTGTTGGTGTGATGTATACAAAATGGAATGTTTTGGTCGGTGTTCAAATGTTGGTTGACAGAAATGTAGAAACTAGTCAAAGGAGCTTTATTGTTTTACGCATTAAATGTTTAGCAGTCATGGAGATTTGTCTATTGCTCGATAGAGGTTGCTTTTATTACTACCAATCACGCACTTGCGCAATAACACATTATCAAATGCTCACGATCCATCCATGTGTTCGACTAATTATCATTTGAAGACAGGAAAAAGGGAAATTTAATAGAACCGTCTACTGGAAATTGAACAAAGGTCATGCTGGCGTGATGGAGAGTACTTAAACAATTGGCGTGTGAATTATGTATTGTACATAAGCATTTCAATGTAGGAATGACCATGGGAAGTTTAAAGTAATTATAGCAGGATTACTTTAGATAATTTATTTTAAATAATACAAACCTCTTCTACCTAATCCGCTTTCCTTTTCTGGATTTTCAGTGACCAGACATGTTTATCGATCCAGTACCCACATCGCCTCATTCATAAACATGTGCAGTGAAAGGTCTATTCTTCTTATACATTAATAGCATGTCGAGGCCAGACTGCCAAATTAAATTTGTAACTGTATATGATAAGATAGGTTTACTACTCTCTTAAACATTGTGTTATTTTGCAAAGAATGTTTGAAAATAATGTGCATGTTCCATTATCTGTATTAAAAGCAGTATCCAGTACACGCAAGGTCAATAGAATAATATTCGGCTTGAGAGCAAATTTTGTTTTGATCAAATTGGAAGGTTGATTAGTTGTAAGTTAGACTTCTTTGGGAACATTTCAACTAAAGTATGTGAAAAATGAGTAGGCGTGGTGCCTTAATTAAGTGTAGCTGGAATTCGGATAAGCTTTCTGGATGTGTTAGATAATTTGGGAAATAACTACGTGTAATGAGAAATGACGTATTTTCTGTCCCATGTGAGGTAATTAAGTGCCAGTCCTTAACAAGTGTATACAAATGAAAGATAATTAAAAAACTGCGATTATCATTATTCAATATATTACCTATAATCTTTTTTCAACATTATGGATTCCGATCATAGAGATAAAAAGACATCAACGAAGTCAACTCATTGTTTTAACTTACGTCACACACAAGACGTCTGTGACGTCATTAACAGGGGATGACGTCATTTGAATAAATTTTGAAGGTTTTTTGTTGTTTAATGCCGCACTCAGCAATATTCCAGCTATATAACGGCGGTCTGTAAGTAATCGAGTCTGGACCATAAAATCCAGTGATTGACAACATGAGCATCGGCCCGCGCAATTGGGATTGATGACAGGCATAAACCAAGTCAGCGAGCCTGACCACCCGATCCCCATTTGAATAAGTAGAGAATGTTAAAAAATCAATTTTCTTATGTTGTAAGAGAAACTTAAGAATATTATGCGTGAATTAGCACGTCGGCGGGGATAGAAATTAAATTCTTAGTGAGTCTTTCCAAAAATCTTTTGTCCGATAAGCATGCCGACTCTATCAAATGTTTACCATCATATCAGTAACTATATAATTTCTGGGGTTATGTATCAGCAACTGACTGCTTTGTAAAACGATAGACGGGTACTTTCTTGTACGTTTGTTGTACATTCATCACATTTAGAGTGAGTGAGTATGGTTTTACGCCGCTTTTAGCGATTTTCCAGCAATATCACGGCGGGGGACACCAGAAATGGGCTTAACACATTGTACCCATGTCGGGAATCGAACCCGGGTCTTCGGCGTGACGAGCGAACGCTTTTAACCAATAGGCTACCCGACCGCCCCCATCACATTTAGAAGTTGCCTACACTTGGATACTGTTAAAGTTGTGAAGATCCGGGGTAGAATACATCTTCAGTAACCCATGCTTGCCTTAAAAGGTGACTATGCTTGTCATAAAAGGCGACTAACGGGATCGGGTGGTCAGGCTCGCTGACTTGGTTGATGCATGTCATCGATCCCAATTGAGTGGATCGATGCTCATGATATTAATCACTGGATTGTCTGATCCAGACTCGATTATTTACGGACTGCCGTCATATAGCTGGAATATTGCTGAGTGCGGCGTTAAACAACAAACCAACCAACAACTGATTGGTATGCATAAAGAAACAGATCAGCTGGGAGAGGAGCAAAATTGGTGCCCATTGGGATGCCTACTTCTTGCCTAAATGTCTTACCCCGACATTTTACATAGATGTTATCAATGTGGAAGTCCAGCATTAAACATATTGCTTACTCAGTAAACTTCCGATTCATTTTTACCATCTTGACCTGAACCTCTGAAGATGTGAGTTGAGGTGAAATGGGATTTAACGTCGCGTCCAAGATTATTGCACTTATATAGCGACGTGCATGTACGTGTGTGTGTGTGTGTGTGTGTGTGTGTGTGTGTGTGTGTGTGTGTGTGTGAAGGTTCGGGGTTCAATCCCGGCCGTGTCATACCAAAAGACGTTAAAAGATGGTACTTGTTGTTACCTTGTCTGGCGCTCGGCATTAAGGGGCTAACACAAGGACTGGTCGACTTCGAGTCAGGATACTGTGTCTGGGTAGGGTATTCATGTTAAACTGCGGTATGGTATCTCAGTGTGCTGGCACTATAAATCGGCATCAGTCCGTACTAGTACAAGAAGACACACACACACACACACACACACACACACACACACACACACACACACACACACACACACACACACACACATACACACACACACACACACAGGTGCATGCACGTCGCTATATAAGTACAATAATCTTGGACGCGACGTTAAACCCGAATTCACCTCACCTCACCTCACCTCACCTCACCTCACCTCACCTCACCTCACAGGACAATAGAGGAATGGACATGTCTTCAGGTTTTAGAGTCAAGTCAAAAGTTGATAGTCCTGATGCACGGTTTTGACGGATTCCTTTCTCATTTAAAATACTGGCCTTATATGTGGCATAATTTGACATGTCTCTCATTTAAACCATCATTAACTTTAACTACGATTTTAAACCGAAAATGTCATCAATCAAGGTGCAATGGATGGTTTTCAGCTCATGTAATAATGCTTCATTGATGATTTATTTCAACGACAATCTTAATTTATTTTTTTAGCAATTCTTGTTACTATCTGTTTATACTGTGTTGGGTCCCAAAGATCATTTGTCATCAAGGAGCACGGGTTGCCCAGTCGTCAAAGGAGGCTAAATGTCGCAGTACGGAGTTGCGTCCTTTGGGCTCACTGGAAGGCGATGCTCCAAGATTCTCAAGCGCCTACGCGCTCACTCACTCACTCACTCACTCACTCACTCACAAAATCATGAGTCGTATGAGGCTAAGGTAAAGGAGATACAAACCCGATGGTGTGGGAGTTTTTCCTCCGAATATGAATCATTGGTTATGTACAGGCCGAAGTCGTAGAGCAGGAATATTGCTGGAGCGTGGCGTTAACAAGAAATAAGCAAACAAACACGTTGGGCTTCTTGCCAGGAAAAAGAAGATGCTTATTCATTCACTCACTCACTCAGAGAGAGAGAGAGAGAGGGGGGGGGGAGGGGGGGAGAGAGAGAGAGAGGGGGGGGGAGAGAGAGAGAGAGAGAGTTATAAGAGATTTTTTTCGACGAGATGCCAGAAACACGCACAACTATTCTCAGATGATCAGAGTATGTTACGTTAACACCAAAGCACTCTTGGGGGTGAAGGGGTGCAATACCCCATTTCAGACACATCACTTGGCAATCAGTAACTTCGTCAGTTGGCTGGGTGTATTGTCAAAGTCTGTGAAAGTGGACTTTAGATCTGAACGTTAGAACTTGTCGTAAAAAAAAAGCCCAAATTTTAAATCAATTCTTAGAACCACGCTAAAGAACGTTATGTCCCATCTATAATAGAGAGGGTGAGAGAGAGAGAGAGGGAGAGAGAGAGAGAGAGAGAGGGAGAGAGAGAGAGAGAGAGTGAGAGAGAGAGTATGTTACGTTTACACCAAAGCACTCATCCTCAACTGCAGTCGTGTCCTGGAACTATTTTCTCGATCGCAGTGATAATGGGTTCTTACATTGACGGATAACTCGTGTCAGGTGCATTTCTTTTCATGCGTTTTTGTATGCCTTATGTAGGTTTTAATAGTTTCTGTGTGGTTATTAACAATGACTTTAAACGTGTAGTCCTCTTCTCTTGCGCGAGAGCGTTAACTTAGAGCAGGGGGATTTTTTTACCAGTCAAATGTATTCCAAAAGCGAAAACACTTTCTAAAATCATTAAAAAAATCCCCAATAATGGCAGAGTCCATTGTGCGATTCCGACTATATCAATACCATGTTTTCATGACCCACTATCAATAAGCGATGATACCGCGTAAGGGTGAGCGTGTCCTGCCCCACCAGTGGTAAACACATTAAGGTATTCCCTGTATAATGGGCAGTTTCCGCCCTTCTTTCCATCCATCTCTGCTTGCGTATTTGCCGAGTTTGATGTTTCGAAAAAGTGGACAGTCGTCGTCCTTGCAAGGATCACCGTAGCAAACATGACAAGCTGGGTAGTTGTGGTCGATGAACACGTTCGATTTTAATATTTTGG